ATGAGTATATGGTAATTATAACACACAGATCTAATGGTGCCTTAAGAGAAATTTTTGAAGGTCTGTCACTCGGTAGATACTGAGGGTGGATTCACTCAACAACGATGGAGAATGTTTAGAGAGTTCGGAACAAATAGTACAAATGGAAGTAACATGTAACTACATAGATAGAGATGAACGACTCAATCTTCTCCTAAGTATCAAAGTTCTGACTCAATACATTGTATGATTTTGATCTAGATATGAATCTAATGCAAGGATTTCTACTTGAATAGTCAGATTCATTTATTTTTTCTCAACAATGATGGAGACTTGTTTCCTCGCCATCAAAACGTCCTCGTCTGCTGTCTACTGCTCTACATCCATCCTCCGCGTTTGAACGTACAAGTAACTGTTGTCTCTCATGCTTCTGCAGAGTATCAGACTTTACTTGGCCCTCAATCACAACAGTAGATTCCGTTGTCTTTGAGACCTGCAAGAGGCCTTGCGAGGTGAATCCATTCCGTTGTCAGCAGAGGGCCATCAAGTTTGATGAGCGACAAAGCCCGAACGACCGAACAGGAGCTTGTAAAAGCCTCTTGCAATTTGTTGTGTAGCTGTCAAGGAAAATGCCTAAGAGCACAGAGGAGCTGGTGAACCTGGTCAGATGGATGGATCCATCGATTGTCCTCGCAGCGAGCGAGGATTCCCCGAGCATGCTGGCTGGCATATTTCTTTACGGATGAGATGTTTTGAGTGTTTACAAGTCTGCTGATATACTCTGGAATCCATCTATGCAGGAGCATATAGGTTAGTGGATTGAAGTAACCAATGAATGCTCGGAGTAGTCAAGTCAGCGTAGTCTATCTCAATCCTGTGACAGCATCAAGTTGAGATTATTAACTACGTGTGACGCATACTTGGATATAACTACAAAGTCGTACTCTTCTACCGTACTTTACTCTTTGCTTTTTCTCTTTAACCAAAACCTTTTCCTTTTACTTATTATTTGTTTCTTACGTTTCTCTCGATCACAATCTTCTATATTGTATCTTAAAGCATTGTCTTCATACATCGAGATAACTAACTACTATAACATGAAAGGAGTCCAGTGGAATAGGAAAAATGATGGAAACAATCCTTCACGAAATTTACAAAATATCTCAAAACTGAAACCATGAGCTAGACCCCTATAAAATCACAATGAAAATTTTTAATTTATAGTATCTAAAATATTGAATTATAAATATCGAAAAACCTAGAAACGACTTGAGCTTCCGATGATGTATTATCTAATATTATAGTTCTCTGGAGCATAACGTTCACTAGTGTTCTCTTCAAAGCAATGAAGAAATATAAATCGATCATAGACAAGAGAAAATGATACTCTTGTATGATAGGCTATTACGCGTTGTCACACAAATCTGCATTCCTACCAACCTCTAACTCAAATGCTAATAAATATTAAAAAAGAAGCATATTAGTAGTCCTAAACTTTGAAACCTTGGTAATTAAACCTTGATACACATTCATCAAATTTTAATATCATAAAAAAATTTCATAATGATAAGTTCATTCTCTTCAGAGATTTACAATGTTTTAGTATTGATGAGATTAACATGATTATTACCTTATTATTTAACTCAAGTGAAGATGGACACCTTGTAAATTGAGTGGTAATCATAATTCTTCATAGATTATGCTTGAATACATTATTTTCTATTGAAGATTACAATCTACTTTAACTCCATGATAAATTAAAGAATGACAGAATATTTTTGTTCCGAATCTGATTATATCTCAATATTAATGTGAAGAATATATACGACTACTAGTCTAGTTGTTATACTATTTGATCCCAGTGAAGAGATGAAATAAATGTTGTGCTGATGAAAATAATTTGAAATTAAAGCTAGTGCCATAGTCCAAGTGAAAAGAGTCAATGATTATTGAATTTTGGTTTTCAAATTAATCATAGAGCATTCGATCAAAAATATTTATTTATTAATGACGTGCAAAAAGATGTGTGTAAATGGAAGTGAGTTGATGGTATATGCACGCTTGTGGTACAGAGCTTTATTCATTTTTTAGTCTTTTCTCATAACATGAAATACATCTCTGTGTGAGAATTCATCCCATCTATGTACCCATTTCAGTCTTTCAAGTGTGTAACGTAATGTATTTTAGCTTCATTAGTTCCGCATCAACATCAATTCTTGTTGATGTAATATCTTGATTATGGTACCAGCAACATTAACATAAACTTTGCAGCTTGTTCTGAAAAGAATATCAGATAGTTCTACGAGAGAGGGTTAAACGTAAGTCCAAAAAAATATTAAGCAAAGCTAACCATCTTCGAATGCCATCTCAGCTTTGGATGTCTTTAGGTACTTCAAATATTAAAGCTGATGACAAATAGCGACAGTTGGAAAGATATGTCCAACTTGTCATGTGTGTGTGTATATATTTATTTATTTAGGTTAATTTTTTTTAAATAAGTATCAAAGACAAGTTAATGGCCTCACCGTGGAGATTTCACATACAATCATGTTGCATGCATGAATATGAAATCAAATTTTGAAGTACATTCTTGTCAACTGTGATATTAAAGATAATGTGTTCTTTTGCAAGGTATCCAAGCATATTCAGATAATTTTTTGTCTATATTGAAGTTTATATGAATTTTTTCAAATACCAGTGGCATGCCAATGCCATCGAATTAAGAAAGTTGATGAAATGAAGACCAAAAATTATCATCTATGAATACATGTCTATTATGAAGGACTTTGGTATTACTTCAAATCTATTAGGTTTTCAGATTTAGTAACTTTTAGAGAAATTTTCCTTCATGAAATTTATTATCCCGTTGACATACAAAATTTGCTTCAGACAATGTTCATTCTTAGTATCGAGATAATAAGGCTTGCTGGTAGTTTTGTTTAGATGTCTAAACATTCAGTTGGATGAAACAACTATTAATGAAACCCAGTATCTTTGATATTGTTATCCATTTATTATTATTATGATCAAATATGGTAAATTTCAGCTTCTAATTCACATTATATATTTTTTTATCATCATAAAATGTACAATACCTTGAAAATTGCACCTACATGACAACATCCTCTAAATAGACCTGATAATTTGATATTAGTGCCAACTCCACCAAGGATTAATAGAGCAAAGTAAATTTTGTACCAATTCATCTCCAAAGAAAGAGGACATGTGCTTGTTTTACAAAGGTGGAGAGATCAATGATATCATTGATAGTCTATATGTAAGCTACCTAAATAATTATTACCACAAAAGTTCAAATTTGTCTTTTCAAGAAGTAGCAATTTCTTGGAAGTCAAATCAGAAGAATATTACTACAACATACTCCAATCATGTACAAATTTTGGCGTTTCATGAAGCATGTGATGAGTATGTGTGGACAATCTGGCATGCATCGCATACATGAAAACATGAGATTTGAAGTTATCGCATTAGGAAAAACTTGTAACGATAGGTTTATTCCTTATTCTTCTTTTTTTCACATCTGAGTCTTCATTTCTTAAATACTCTGGAGATATTTTAACCAAGGAAGACTCCAACCCAAGTAAAGGTGAATCATCAATAATATACAACTATATATTTACAAGGGACTCCATCTAAGCTACCAACCAGACCCAGGGAATCAACCAACTACTCGGAATATTGGTGCTTAAAAGTCACTGAATCGAATATGTAGATATGACAATCAAATGTATACTTGGTTGATTCTTGAGGGAGTATTAAATGATACATCGACAAGTGTTCGGTACCTATATTCTAATTCGAAGTGACGTGTAGTATTCGGCAATACAGTCCTGGTGGAAGTAACTCGGGACTACAGAGTTGAAGCTGTTCCAACTACACGTTCAGCTAATTATCAACACATTATATGAAAATAACATAACTGAACACAAGAGAACTGTCAGTGAAGGTTTTACACCGAATTTATCAGTGGCAATCTGTTCGATATTCCTCGTAGAACAACTTTTGTTTAAGAAAAAGTGTTAACCTCAACAGAAACATCGAAATAGGAAAGAAAAAAAAGCTCATACGAATTTTTTGCCCAGGGAAACCTTTCGCTCCAAATCAGAGTACAACAAGAAGGTACCGGTCACTTTATTAATACATACATATATCTCTCCCGCACCCCGCTATCATATTTTGCTTTATGATAATTATGCTTAATGAAAATGGGATGACTAACATGCATCTCCTTGCATGGATTTGTTTCTGATCCGAGTTACTAGTGAGAGGTCAATACTAAAAGATAGTCATCGTATGGTCCACACCGCTGAGATTTCTAGAAAATGAATCCAAGATATGGCCTTGTGGCAAATCAGCCCAGTCCTCGATGAAAAGTGGGCACAGAGGACAACCACTGCAGCAGCCGGGAAAGCGTGCCGGCCTCTTGGACAGAGGAGCACGGGTCATGAGCACGAATCGAAGCTCGAACCTTTGGAGCTTTTTCGGTGACTGCGGCGACGGGACTCGAAGCTTGGCCTCCCCGAGCTTATCATGAGACAAGTCAGATCTGATCATCGCACTCGACCCAAGATGCTCGGGTCCGTTTATGCTGGATAGTCTTCTCCATCGACGATCCGATCGATAGTCCGGACTGCAGCCGGTTACCACAATCATTACCATATTTTAACCTCGACGTCACCGAAAGCTCGGACGACCGACTATCGCCGAAAGACTCGAGTTCATCGCTAGCCGACGTCGCGCTCGCCGTCGCCGACAGGGATCTCCCGGTACGTCCTTTGGCCCTCCAGACGCCGTCCGTACTCGCATTAGGTGACGACCGGTCGTCGATGCGTCCCACGTCATCAGCTCGCCAGACTGGCTTCCAGTCAGAAGGACTCCTCGAGAGTCGGGGGCAGGTTTCGCGACGGAGGAGCTGCGACGGTCGCGACTGACATTCCGGCTCTAGAGGGATCGGAAGGATGGACGACGAAGGCGAAGGCTATGGAGGCTCGAGGTCCTGGAGTATAAATGGAACGCAGGTGCACGACCAACGTAGTCAACCGGTTGCTCGAAGCTCGAAGCTCGAAGCTCATCTCGTTGCTCGCCTCGGAAAGCTTCGAATTTGTTATCGAGCTGAGTCGCTACGTCCAAGCTGCGCGCTGCGAGGCACGGGCAGGCATCAATCATGGTGTCTCGGGCTCAGATCGGCCTGGCTCTGGCGCTGGGCTTGCTCGCTCTCGTGAGCACTGCGGAGGGCGGAGTTCTGTTCTCGAATCTCACTCGAACACTGGCCGTCGAGGCGACGATTCAGTCGACGAATTCCACCACGGGCGTCGCTCATGTGGGTTCCGACCACCTGGTCGTGTCTTGGGCTCTGAATTCGTCCCTGGCCGACTCCGGCCTCGATGCCAAGTACGTGAATGTCAATATCAAGCTGTGCTACGCTCCCGTGAGCCAGACGGACCGCGGCTGGAGGAAGACGAATAACGATCTCCACAAGGACAAGACCTGCGGCAAAGGAATTGGCTCGCAGAAGTACGTGCCCGGTGGCAACACCACCAACTGGAGAATCACCAAAGACGTCCCCGGAGCTATCTACTTCGTGCGCGTGTACGCTGTCGATGCGGACGGTGTTCAGCTGGGTTTCGGTCAGACCACCAACGCTGCCAAGAGCAGTAACTTGATCGAGATTCTGCCGATTTCAGGTCGCCATGCGTCGATCGACGTGGCCTCTGCCATCTTCTCTGTTTTCTCTGTTGGATCATTGATCAGCTTCTTGGGCGTGGAGGCCATCAGGAGTAAGAAGGCTGCGAACGCGAGGGCCGGAAAGTAGAGAGCGGTTGCACACTCTTCCGCTTGCGCAGCGGAGACCTGCCGACATGACCCTTTGCTGTTCGCCAGATTCGCCCTCATCGTGATATACATGTATGGCTGATTGTCGACAGACTTCACTCCTTGTGAACTGTTTGTGGCTTCAATCAGGAGGGGCTGTGGGCTCGTAGCTCCCCGAGGCGTAAGGATCTGGCCGCTCGCATTAGCCAGTGCTTAGAGGAATCAAGATCATTGTATAATAGAGAACTCCGACCCATCTGAAGGCAGGGCCGTGTCTGAGACGTGGACACATGCTCCACAGGTTATATAGATACAGAGTTGTGTTGGCTTGTAAACATATGTTATAAGATATGGCTATAGAGGCCGTCGATACTCGACGGAAAACAAATTTTTACAGTAGTGTGGAGATTTTCCAGGGCTTGTAAGTTAAGCTCCCCCGAACCCCAGTGCATCGCCCTGATCTTATCTGGAGGGTTCTCGTAGTCTTGCAGTTCGGAAATATCCTGTGGTCTCTGAGTTGTTAGCAGGATTACTAGACGTTGTATAGCTGGTGCTCGAGTGGGCTCTCGTTTCCAAATCTGGCGTCATGGGCGCCCTGGCTGTACAACATCGCTTATAGTACAAAATTTCTGACCTTCTCTCAGAGCTCTACCTTAGATTCTCCGGCTCAATTCTGTGTGCACTTCTTCGCTTCTCGAATTCTTCTTGTATCGGCTCGAGCCGTAGCATTGGTGTCCAGCTCGAATACCGAGAGCATTTCTCATTATTGCATTTCTTATCTACTGTGGTTGTCATGCCAGTGTCTGTGAAAGTGGACATCCGAGTTTCACAATTGCCCGACTGGAGAAGCGGATTCATGCCCTACGAGGTTTTTGTCCGTCACAGTTGCTGTACATTTCAGTTGACTAGTGTCAGGTTTCGGCAGTCTCACATTCTAGTAGCTGCAATTGCGGAAATGGATAGGAAAGGGGGACTGTTTGTATGGGCCACTTGTGAACGATCCTAGTTCCTGTGACGAAGGATAAGACATTCAGGTCGTCATGCTGTAGTTTTTGGTCCCTGTGTATATTGATGTCCGCTTCAGGGAGTAAGCCAGTTACTGTGTGGTAAGTTGACAGCTCGAATGACTGAAGAGGAGATTCCCCCTCTAACTGAACAGGACCCTCCTTAATTTACAGATTCGTAGTGCATGATTCTATAAACTGTCTACAAAGTGAGAAAAGTGACTTGATTACTGCACCATTCTCTGTAATAAGGCTCTTCCCCCGCATCGGCAGCTTTGTTGCAGTAAATCTAGAATGAACGCCCATATGTGAGAATAATTTTCTGCTTAGTTCATTTCTTTTTCAAGGTTCTTGTATTCAGATTCAAATAACACGACGAACACCGTTAATGAAAATCACCAGCCGAAGACACGTAGATGATATTAGCGAACAGCAATGTACATAATGGAGGCATTCCGTAAAATGTAGGTGGATGATCTCACACGACAATCAAGAGCTCGTCATGGAGACAATGTCAATGTGCAGATCAGAACTTCTTTGTTGGCCGCGGCCAGGTTAAAAAAAGACCTCTGGAAGAAAGTAATGATTGGTGAACTCAGGACGAAATGAAAGAAGTACATTATTTAAACTCTTGTTTTCGCCATATCGGACACAGTGTCAGATATTTGCAAGCCATATGATTTCATATTTGGGAACATTTGATATTCCAAAGCTTCAAAGAGCTTGCAGCGTAGACGGGGTATGCTCAGGACATCGATATGATATCTTTTTACAATTTCGAGACATTTCAACATAAACTACCTGCGTGTCGTCCACCATGTGCTTACTTACCTAGATTCTTCGACGAGCAACAGAGTCAGTACTCCTTCCAAGTATGATAATCAGTCAAACATTATTTTCTTACATTTGGTGAAAAATGTAGAGGTGGTGAGTTCTAGTCACTACTGCTTCTGCACATCCCAGGAGATTATTCTGTTACGGGAGGTAAAAATTGTAGAGGTGATGAGTTTCAGTGACCACCTCCTCTTCACATCCCTGAAGATTATTCTGTCTACCGCACACATGCAAAGTGCATCGTGCTTGGGTACCACGATCAATGAACATGACCAGGCGTACAATGGAATATAAAACACCTCAAATTTAGGATATTGCATTGAGATCAATGAATGGTATTGTTTCGTATTTCACCCTTCGTGCAGTCTAAGTGTCATGATCTCAGCAACATATATTGGGTCTACTTGCGGAGGATCGATGAGCTATGACAAATTTGTTCTCCGCTGTTTTTCGTGAGTTGATCCTCAACTTTCAGAAACAATGTGATATTTGATTACAAAAGGGTAAGCTATTTAGGATCCAAATGAAAAAGTCCAAACGTGACTGAGTGCAAGAGCTTTCTTGTTTCTACAGAGCGGTGGATCAGATGAGCTCGAGTGCCAAACGTACCAAAGTGCGTACTTTATTCTCAAACATTCTCTGATTACCTTATCAGAAGAGCCATTTTAGAGTATATCTGGGGAAGGTATATTCAAAGCACTTAAAATTTTCCAGTACTGAAAAGTCCAAATTATTGTCGCTGTTGCAAAAACGTGTGTAGGTGGGGACTTTTTTAGCTACTGACAAAGTCTTCGATCGCGACCGTCGGAATAGTAAAGAATGCAGATACTGTAGATAGTGGCGGCATGAACGATGGAAGTCTAACAGTGCTCCACTGGCAAACTGTTCTTCCATGATAGTCCACCGTGCAATCTCTATCAAAGTCATTCTTCCATGGATTCTTGTCTATGCTTGGGTTAGAGCCCTAAGGAGCTCTGCGACTTTCAGGTTCCAGAGCTGCTTGATTTGCCGGCTTTGTTAGTATCATCGTTATAACCGCTGCATAGTGACAAGCTGACAATCGGGCAGAGCTGGAGATCTGAAATTGTGACCGACTAGGTGTTGTCTACAACTTCGCATAGATTTTCTCTGCTCGAGAATTTGAAGTCCCGATGTCGTAGAATACCGTGGAAGGTTAAGACACTCAGCTGGGAGAAGTTCCAAGTAGCAGGGGACATGGCAGAAACCGTCTTCCGGAGGAAGCAATCTGATTCTCCACCTGCATCGGATTGGGAACATACAGCACAATCTTGTCGTTGTATTCGCAAAAACTAAAAAATGGCTTTCATCTGCAGCAGAGAAGTTGGCTGAGTATGTGATGATGGTAGCATTCATCAGATTGAGATCTGACTCTGATACATTTGAGCAGATCGACACATAAGGGGCTTTCTGAGATGGGTTCTACTGCAGAGTATGCTGCTCTGAATAACAGAGGAGGAGATGCCGGGGACGGGGAACTAGAATTTGTACCGCTAGTCATCCGATCCTCTCCTTCGCATGAACCCGTTCAGGATGAGGTCCAAAAGAGCTCGATGAAGGCAGATGAGGGACAGGGAGATAATCAACAGATCGAGTGGGCGCAGCATAAAAGACAATGGAAACTCCCAATCTGCATCATTGGAGCTGTTGTTATCGTTGTCGTCTCACTTGTTTTGGGACTTGTAGTCTCTGAGTCCAAGTCCGACATGGAAGTATACTCTACTGAGCTGTACAGGACCGGATTTCACTTCCAACCACAGAAGAATTGGATGAATGGTAAGTTCCCCGACACCACCTCTGTTTGCAAAATGCTTCCCAACAGCTTGTACATACGTATTCTCATCCACTAGAATTCATGATGTGGCTAGTTGATTCAGTTTGGTCAAAATCGACATATAAGATTTTTCATATCTTCAAAATACTTGGACGATTACAGACATCTCACCAATTCGATCTATCACGTATACAATATATAGCACAGAGAAGAAGAGTATAGGAGTTTGCTGGACCAGTCTTGTTGATGATGGTGAGAAGTTTGTGCATCATGTGAGCTCATGTGTACGAAAAGATTGTACGATGCTGACAATTTGTTGGGATTGCGGCATATGATGAATGGCGGCCATGGCGGGTTGGCGCGTGCGTGTGTCTCTGGTCTAATCTTACTCGGTAAACAGATCCCAACGGTTAGTACCTTACTGAATTTTACTTCGGGCACGGGAGTGGGATCCTAAGATCCACCATACCTCTTTTCATATATTCAGGCAATGAACATATCGGCCACATTCTCTGTATCATATACAGAGAAATATGTCGCATGGTGAAACGTTGACATTCTAGAATTGGAGCCAGATTTGAAAGTTGTTTATCTTATAATGTCAGGATTAACATGAAAGTCTTCATCTGCTCTTCTCATCTGCAGGAATGATAAAGTACATGGGGTACTATCACTTGTTCTATCAGTATAATCCTGATGGGCCAAAATGGGGCAACATAAACTGGGGTCATGCCGTTTCAAAAGATCTTGTTCACTGGCATCACATCAACCAGTCAGCTCTTGCTCCGGGTCCTGATTGGTACGATATTTACGGCGTGTGGTCTGGATCAAGCACATTACTTCCCGATGGAACCCCTGCAATTTTGTATACTGGATGGTCTAACATTTCAACAAGCACTCAGGCGCAGACCCAAAACTTGGCTGTGCCATTGAATGCATCAGACCCTCTACTAAGAGACTGGGTGAAGTCTCCATCTAATCCAATCATGAATCCAGGGAAGGGTTTTAATACCCAGAACTTCAGAGATCCCACAGAAGGATGGATTGGCGCAGATGGGCAATGGAGGGTACTAATTGGTGGCACTATGCTTAAGGGCAAAGGAGGCACTGCACACTTGTACAAAAGTAGAAATTTTGTCAATTGGACATATGTTCAAGATCTGCACTCTGTAAATTATACTGGAATGTGGGAATGTCCAGATTTTTACCCAGTGGCTATGGAGGGGAGAGATGGATTAGATGTATCCACAAACACTGTGAAGGTGAAACATGTTTTAAAAGCAAGCACAAGGAACCATGACTACTATACTGTAGGTACTTACGATAGTGTTTTGGACACTTTTGTCGCCGATGATCCCGAGCTAGAGGTAGGCTTCGGAATGCGTTATGATTATGGAAAATTTTATGCTTCAAAATCGTTCTTCGACAAGAGCACAAGCAGAAGAATTCTGTTCGGATGGGTCAGTGAATCTGACAGCGATGCAGACGCTATTACCAAGGGATGGTCTGGCCTTCAGGTCTGCTTTTCTCCTTTCTGTTGTATTATCCTGAGACAAGTCTATTCATTTTATTCCTTGTGCCTTTACCTCAATAGTTGGATCACAATTCTCAAACCTCCCATCAGATCACAGTTATCATGGTTTTCTTGTTCCATGTATGTAGCTTGGTAGTATGACATTTCCAGTAACTCACCACTTGCTTCCCTATATAACCCGAGGGCAGCTGGCAATCTCCACCCACTGAAATCTTGGACGTTGCTGTGCACTAGTTACGTTCGGTTCTGTGTGAGTGTCACGAGAAGCGTGCTTCTTCAAAGTTCCCTTATATCTGTATTCTGTAGATATCTTTGGCTCAATTTACATATTTCTTGTTATTTGCCACCTTCAATCTTCTGATCGTTTTGTTATTTTGATTATCTAATTTTGCGAATGTAATTACTCCAGTATATTACACTCGCACAATGCGCCCTCAAATGCTTCCAATTTTGAGACTTTTTAATGCTCCACGGATTTGCATATTCATTTTGTTATGCTTTGTTCATAACTACTAGATATAACTGAAATCCGATAGACTATTTGATCTTTTGAATTCAGTCTCTCCCAAGACAAGTTTGGCTCGATCCGGATACCGGAATGGACCTTGTACAAGCACCCGTTGAGGAAGTAGATGGACTTCACAGAGATCAAGTTTTCAAGTTCAACTTCACATTACCGGCGGGATCTGTTATGGCTATTGAAGGAGTTCACGGACCTCAGGTTGGGATCATTGTTACCTTCCTGTGACTCCCTCTGCTGTCAACAGGCTTCACTTGAGATGTTTGAAACCTGTGCGTAGAATTTATGCTTGAAAAATGACTTCTTTTGATACCAGTTCATACTACAGAGGTATGCATATATCTGAGGATTGTTGCTTTATATATACTTCCATAAATATCCATGAGCTGTGAATCCTACATCGAAAAAAAAGTCTGTTTTACTTTTTTATCAAGAATCTGCTGCAACAATAAGCAGCTGTGTATGATGAACCAATAGGAGAGTTAACACGGTAAAGAGTTCAGGCAGAACATCGAAGTGTAGAAAGATTTAACTGATTCACATTTGTAGAATAAATAGATCTGATATCTCAACCAGTGAGATAACATAGTCAATAATAGGTATATGAGCTCTCGGATTGTCTTCACTAACTTTGCCTTCTACGTGCCAATGTCATTCAACTAGTTGGACATTCAACTGGAGTTCAACAAACCGGACATGCCGATGAACTTGTTATTCAATGGTACAGACGCAACTTCGCTTGTAGGTCAAGAGGTCTGTGCGAACGGAACATCACATAATGGACTTTATGGTCCTTTTGGAGTGTTGGTTCTCGCTGAAAAGGACCTTCTAGAGCAAACAGGTGTATTCTTCTATCTGACACTTGCTTATGACGGAACCTGGAAGGCGATAGTGTGCAGTGATGAAAGCAGGTAAGTCAAGTCCGTAATATGTAGACTAATCTCCAGAGTTGAAATATTCCACCGTCATAGGTTTTTTCTAGTTGCCGATCCAGATTGCTCATAAAGTTCATCCTCGTTAGAGATTTCAGCAACAAAATGTATAAATCGCTAGGTACTTTTTTTTTCTCCATGTGAGTTTGTGGACAACTGCAGATTGAACTACCATCTCGAGTTTTTTCAAGGTTTTCCTAGTGTAGGAAAACCTTGAAAGATTGCTGATTCTCGTGACTCTCAGATGTTTATGAACACTATCGATACTTAATCCATAACTGGCCCATATGACTCAACACATGTTTATGTCCAGATCCTCAATGCAAACAGATGTTGACAAAGCTTCATATGGAACATATGTCCGGGTGCTGGAAAGTGATCAATATCTCACATTGCGTACCTTGGTAAGTTGACTTCTTGTAGGTCATCAATATGCTGAGGCAGGTTTGGATCTAGCAAGAACCATTTACCCAACCTCTGCATTTGTTTCAATGGCGCACAAGGTATGAAGCTGTAAGGTAGCTTCATAAGCTAATAGGTTAGGAGAAAGACAAATTTTCTGAAATGTGTCTGTTATTGCAAGCAGGTAGATCATTCAATTGTCGAAACCTTCGCTCAAGGAGGGAGGGCGGTCATCACATCGCGCGTGTATCCAACCATGGCGTTAAACAATGACGCCTACTTTTTCCTATTCAACAATGGCACTCAAGATATCAAAGTCCAAAGTCTCAATGCCTGGAGGATGGAAGCTGCGCCGCCTGATGAAATGGAACCAAAAGTTTAGGCAATCAAGCAATTTTGTAACATACTCACTCGATCGGAGTTGAGAAACTGCAGGCTATGTCATGGACAGCTCCTGTCCTGGGCTCTACACTTCGTAGCCATGCTCTCTACGAGTGCAGTTCACTTCAACTGAAGTTTCTCATCGAAGCTTAATCACTCGCATGCTGCACATTGCGCATGACCTCGAAGCTATAAACCATGAAATAAAATTTTTTAAACATTTGCTTGCCAGTCAAACCTCTCGTGGCTATCTCGACGCGCAAATGGATAGCGTCGAAGAGCGGATAGGCGTAAACTCTCTACGGATACCTTCATGCTCTAGTCTACATGAGGTTTATTGCACAATCACATCCTAAAAGCTAAAGGCGTTGGAATTGCTGAGCAGTCTCTGACTTCATAGATTGGCGAAATGACATAATATTTTTGAGACTTCCCAACACAAACCCATATCTGAGACCACCAAAAATTGGTGTATTACAAGATTATAAAGAAAGTGGTGTATTTGTGCTGAGAAGTATCTCCTTGTAAGCTTTCAGCAATTCCTGCTCTACTTTTTCAGCTTCAAGTTCGCATGAAACTCGCGATTCTGGCAACACAGCGTTGCTCATCATGCGGCATATCTTCGAGCCATATTCACTTTGAAAGTCACACTGCAGTATAAACAAAATATCAGTGAAAACTATAACCTTCATTACGGTACTTAAAACCTTCTTTTTTCTTCAGATACATCAAAGGCATGTTGGGGGATTGTCAAGATATCTTGTTTTTGGACTGAGGGATTTGTATATATCTGTGGTATTTCATATCCCAAGAGGATTAATGTCTATGGGAGTCCATAACATATCCCTATAAACCTCTGAAAGCCTCGTTCCCTATATTATCGACGATGTTCCAGATTTGAATATCCTCAAAGAGTTACGCAGCGTAACTCTTTGAGGATATTCATGTTATCATGGAGTTTATACATGTTTGTCCTTCTAGGTGTAGTTTGCAAACTAAGACTTTTTGGACCTACACAATTTAGCCGTAAAATTGGTACGGGGAAAGGAGTACCTCTTCTGGTTGCTGGCTTATTCCCACTGCTTTGTGGACTCCTCTATCTTGGAAATGTCTAGTATTAAGTTAACGAATGTCTGAAGGAGTCTATGACGAAATTCATGAGGAATGACAGTCATTGAGGACTGGAGCAAATATACGACGTACTGTAATAGTTTTTCCTCGTTGTCGAGAGCCTTCACAGCGCTTTCAGGTGTCTGCCTTATTTGTCAATGACTCCATAGCATCCATACGGGTAGCGAATTCAGTCCGGTGCATGTAACGTCACGTTCGCTCCACGGCTCAATCCTTCACCAAGAAACGGACACTTCTGTACCTACATATCGTGTGTTTAATCTATAATAGAAGTTTTGTTATCATTGCGAGTCAGAAACCTATATGCTTTTTACAATATATGGTAGTGGAAACACGAATGTGAAAATTCCATCAAGGCAAAAAAGAGAAAACCAACCTGAGACAGTAGGCTATCATTTTGATGAGATTTTTACATACTATTTCTCAAAAATAATGTGCAACATATATTATACCTCAATTATTCAAACCAAACCATCTATAACAATAAGAACATATGATATTGTATCACGAGACATGAATATATTCCAATGTATAGGGCTGGTTAATGTTCTCAATTACAGGGTTTAACTTGGATAGTGCATTGTATATGCATCTTCAATAATTCAGTACTGTAATGTAGTATTGTCTTCCATGCAGCGAAAAAGTATGAATCATTGCTTTTACATTGTAAAAAGGTAATTGTTTACATAAAAATGAAATTGGCAATGTGAAGATTATTATAACACAAAATAATGTATAATTCACATGATGATAATGGTAATATGACTTGGAATCAATTCAAATGAGTCAGAACTATATTTGATTTGAAAATCATGTCATCATTCAAGAAAACTTGATTGGTATTAAAAATATCACAAACAATATTCTCTAATTTTTTATTCTCTTGAATGAGTGGAAATTTTATTTTTTTCCTTGATATCATTATCAAAGTAATGTTTTATATGACATAGAAAAATGATTTGAATAAAAAAATAAGGAAAATTTGAATTTAAAAAATATAAAGTTGAAAAAAATTCTTGAATTTACAACACCATAATTTTCTATGATGTGATTATATATTTTGTATTTGACGTGCTTCTTACATTTACATGCAGATAAACGATATCTCTCTTTCAATAAATCTTGTTCAAAAATTAGTTTGTGTTGTACTTCTGAAGTACTACTTCATGCACGAAATGCATTGTTTATGTATATAGAAGGAAACTCTCCGTACGAAGATTGCAAGATTGCTCATGATAAGCGCTCTGAACATGGCCATTAGAAAGCACAACTAGAACTATATACAGTTTTACTTATATCTCATTTGTCATATACAATCTCATTTGCAGTTTATAGAGTCTTGTTTCAAGAATTTTTAATCTTGTGGATATCAGAAAAAATATACTAAAAGATGCCGTACTAAGCAACATGAAGAATTGAAATCAATATTGTAATAAATCAATAAATATCATAAGAAAACAACATGATACGTGTGAGTACATTATAAAATGCTTATCGTGCATTTGTGGTAGAAGTGATAACTATATTTGCTAAGGTATTATTAGAAAAATAAGCATGTATAAACCCCATCTTTGCTTTATAGTACAAATTTTATTTTGAGGATGTCCTAATCACATGATATATAAAGCAAGAAGTGATCTTGAATATTCAATTATCACAACCATCTTAAAGTTGTATTTTTTCAAACTTACAAAATTACCTTTGTAGTATTTTCTCTATTAGAATATATTTATTGCTCTACAAGGAGCTGATACAATTCATGCATAAGCAATCAATTAGAACATGTGTTGTTTGATGCTATAGTGATACGAAGAAAGTTTGATCTAGAAAATCCAAATATTTTAGAGACTACTGAGACAGATTCCATTATATGTTATTGGAATATAGCACCAATTTTACTCTCTAATTTCATCATAACTCCATGGTTTTTTCAGAACTATTCCACAATAATTAAGGAGTTCTTATGCCTTCTAAAATAGATGGTCCGCAATTTTAGGACTGAACGTTTTTTTGTCCAAATATTTGCATAAAAATACTTGTGCGAACTACGTATGGTATAGAGTGTATTTGGAATATAATAAGAAACATTTTTTTAGAAAAATCTTTCTATGTGTCTTGTCCTATATAACTCTCTCTCCCTCTCTCCCGAAACAATCATAACCTAATGTACACATCGATACCCATTAGACTAATGATCGCTGACCTCTATTCATAATACAAACATGTCAACACGGATCACTTACGACCATCATAATCATTTTTCTGGAATGTGCTCATTACATATCCTGAAAAGAAAGAAGCTAGAAACATAGCAAGGAGGATGAAAGATCCTGTGAGTCTTACATGATGAAAGCAATGGCTAGGCTCCAATAGAATTACAATGGGGATTCTGCTTTCTGCGCAACTACTTTGAGGAACTGCACTTGAAAGTCACTTCAACCTGATTACTGAATCATGTTTTCACGACTCTAAATAACATGACTATCACCTAGTGAACTTCTAGTTATGCAATATTTTCCAAATCAGCAGGTACTTTTTAAAGAATAAAAGTAGGTTATCAAAAATTACACTTGAGCCTTATGCCAATTCCTTCAATAAACATAAATTTTAAATCACAAAAAAGCTATGGGAAGTAAGGTTTTTCATGGACAAATTTTTTACTGATTCTCTTGAACTTTTCTAAATGCTAGTTTTGGTATCTAAAACGCATCAATGCTGACATTTATTCAATCAATTATTTCACTGCAAAACTTGTAATACTGTAAACCATCACTTATATTCACATTCTTCTCATATTACTTCATTATCAACATGTATTTTATTCATTCAAGACGACAAACAAGCCTCCTTCATACGAACGTCTAGACGGTTATCCTAAATCACATTTCCGTATAATCTAATGAGATTTTTTCCCAATCGCCTAAAGTAAATACATCTTCACTTGGTTGATCGCAATACCATCCAGAGAGGTCCCACTCTATAGTGAACATTGAAAAGTTTACAAATAGGGTGTCTACAAGCCACCCTGCAGTATGTAAAACCATACTTGAGAATTTGTGATCAGTCACATTCTACGGTGGTCAGAACTGGGCACAGTTCATTGTGTGTGCACAGGTCCTGGAAAAGTGTGGTTTGCAAGTAAATACTTGACTTGGACAGAAAGGACTTATGGTGAGCTATTAGTTGCTCTGCCCCGAAGCTCGGCCATCACCATCACCCAATAGTAATTATCTTGATTCCTTCTTTGTCACCATCTATCGTGATTCAGAAGTGCATCCGTAGCCATAGATCTGTTGTATCTTCTTCAGCTCTCTTCTCTCTCTTTGTCACCATCACTTAGCTTGTCACTCTCGACTTCTCGAAGAAAACACTTATTCTAGTTGTATTATTGTTATTCTAGTTTGGAATAGAGAACTTATTGTTGCATGTGTTTTTCCACTGGTTTGACCTTCAAATTTAATTTATCTACTGCCCACAGTCAGGCTTTGTGGCCATACTCTTTCTTATCATCTAATACTCTTCACATCTTTCAACTATACGTTCTCGTACTTGTTACTTACAAAGCGTGTTAGATCGAAAATCTATCTTTCATCCTGTTGAACATATGTTTCACACCTCCGCTGTAGATTTAATGCAGCAGCCAGATCTACCAATACCAAATATATTTATTATACATGCTTTGGATAGATTTTGTTTTTTTTCAATTCGTACAATAAATTATCGATTAGCAGAGCTGAAGGAAACCGCACGTAGTTGGGGTTCTTACCCGATATGCAACACCTCTGATAACACAAAGAAGATTATGTACCGTACTCGAAACATCGCAGATACATGTATCCGCAGAGATCAACCGGAACAACGAACGACGCCTGCACGGATTTCGCTCCATTTGACGATGTCCATCGAGAGAAGAACGAGAAGGGACGACAAGATCGACGGAGCCGAGCATGCGGCACTGCAAGATTGCAGCGCTGCTGCGTCTCGCGGGCTCAAAGAATATCGAATGGAATCCAAAGGTCGAGAGAGGACCGTAGTTTTTCCCCCGAATAACGGTCGCAAGGCCCCGGGCCAGGGCCAGCAGCAGTTGGGTTCGAAGGAAGTACAGTACACAAAGTACAGCGGTACTTTGTGTACTGTACCGGAGGATGCTGAGTTGGACCGCGGAAGACCACCCGCCCGAACGGAGGACACGAGCGACAGCAGCACGAACAGACTTTCGGTCGCTCGCATCTCCCTTTCCCTTTCGCGGGATCGATAGCACGAGGCGAAACGGCGACGACGGCGCCGTCGGCTCGACGGCGGAGGATTCGCGATCGAGGTTCTTTCTTGAGTTCGAACATCGCAGCGTCCGATGGACGGAATCGGACGGCGCGCCTCGTGCGCTCTCGCGGAGGCAGATTCGCACACGCAACGACTCCTTTCCCTCTGAAAATAAAGAACCGGGACTTCAAATTTGAACGAAGTTCACGTTCGTCTGCCTGTTGCCTGTTGTCGTGTCTTGCCTTGCACTGCCTCGCCTTGTGCTTTAACTTGAACTTTGCGGCTGCGCCAAGGCAGGGCCAGGCAGACGGACTTCAGCAGTGGCAGCCTTTGGGCGGGCGCCAAGTGTCCCGAGGCCCGTCCTTCGCTCTCTTTCGGTACCTGCCTCCGAAAGAACGTCCTTACGCTTAGCCTAAAGTACTGCCCTCCGCTCGAGCGTATCCTCCCGCAGGCGCCGAGTCCCCGGCTTCTTCTTCCGGTTCAAGGAAGCTCCGCTCGCCGATCCGCGATTTCTTCCTCGATGATGCTGCAGGGCGAGATCGGTGCCCGAGGCCGCAGTGAGTGCGCGATTGGGGCGCGATTGATTTAGCGTCGGGAGTTCTGGGGCGCTCGAGAGAATCCGGAGGGTTGTGGACGGATTGGCAGTGGAGTGGGCCGGAGATTCGCGGAGGACGATCGAAAAGACGCTGTGGTGCCATCTCGATCGGTGGAGTGGAGCTGTGACACTCTTTGGATTTTCTTCCGAGGAGGGACGGAGGCAGCAGCAGTAGCTTCTGCCTGCTTCCGATCCTTTCGCCATGGATATCCTTGCGGTGCGAGGGCGGCAGTATGCTAAGGAGGATGAGAAAACTTACCAGCAGTGGTTCGATTACGCTGACACGGGTTCGTCTACGTTTCTTTCTGCGCTCTGCTGTTTCTTACTTGAATTCTGTTTCGGTGTCCAGAAACGCGAGTTTTTGTGGATTTGGATGTCAGTTTCTCGCGGAGGATTTAAGTGTGTGGATTACCCCGAATTTTCCAATTGAATATTCTTCATCACTGCCAATTCCACACATTGCATACAAAGTGATCAGCTTCTCGTTTTCTGGTCTTGAGTTGGAAGGGTAGATTCGGATTCATTCGTCGAGCCTTTCCTGATAGACTTGCCTCATAGACAGGGGAGGCGCGTTACACGGGTGGTTGAGGAAATAATGCTTGCATGCTGTCATGCGGGGAACTCCCATTTAAGCTGGTTCCTCTCTTCACGAGAGAGGTTCGGTTTGTGCTGTTAAAGGAACACACATAGGATGGCTATCCCCTTTTTTCTGTTTTTTTGTCGGAGTAAACGGCACTGTAATCTACCTTTCTAGGACTGCATCTCTCCGAGATGATCGTGCAAGGACGATATCAGCTGCGGAACTATGTGAAACTTATTCAGCATTCACATAGTTCCGCACAGCTAAATTCGTGAGTCGCCAAGGTTCTGCTATTTTCTTTTCATTCCTTAGCGACCTTGCCCGAGTATCCGGGTATCAGTTGAAGCATCACATGGAGGACATCTCCGACGGACTAGTGGAATTTTTCCGCCAACTTGTCTGACTCAATATTTGAACTTATCTGAAGAACCCATTTCACCTTAATTGACAAGAAGTTATGTATTTGAATCCGATTGTCTCTTTATCTGTAAATGATCCAGATCAGGATGGAAGGCTCACTGGACCAGATGCTGTCAAATTTTTTGGGTTGTCGCAGCTGCAGCGAGCGGAACTCAAGCAGGTGGGTGAATTTCAAATTGAGTTAGAGCCATTGGATTGTAACAATCTTTCACAAGATTCCTGACCTAAAATGTCACTTCAATGAATTAAAGTGGTAATCCCTCACTTACATGTAGGTAAATTTATTCCATTTCCAAGGCAATCACAGCTGATAATCTTTCTCTGACTGGCCTGTATTTTGCATCTCTTGTAGGTTTGGGCAGTTGCAGATTCAAGGCGACAGGGTTTTCTTGGTTTCAAAGAGTTTGTCACCGCTATGCAGGTTTGATCAGTGCTGTTATTCTCTGATTGTGTGTTCCCCACTTCTGAATATATTTCCAAAAATTGTTCACTACATGTGCGCAGTATGTCTGAACATCCTTAAGCCGATCTTTCATGTCTTAAAAGTCATCTCCTCTTAGCTTCTTGTGTCTTCCTTGTCAAGTTTTGGGCACTTAAGCTCACGAAATCATAGGGTTTCTGGAGGTTCTATCTTGTCATTTCTAAGATGAGATTTTCGTGTTGAAACCTTCCAAGTCTAGGCTTCAGTTGCGTTTCTTTAGTTTTTGAATGTTCCAGATTTTAAGAGCTCTGTGGTCTTCATCAGGTTATATCTCTGGCGCAAACAGGCAATCCTATCACCGCGGATATGTTGAAAGAAACGGGTAACGCTGCTCTCCAGAGTATAATGATTGCTGAGGTGTCTATGTCACATCACGAGAGTACATCCGCTAATGTTTCCATCAAGTAGCTAAGTCATTGATTCTGACATTGACGTTACTAGGAAGGTTACCTTTTAACTGGAGATCAATCAATACCGTTGGTAACTTTAGGACATTTACAAGAGTTTTAACATGGAAAACAATCAGTCAGTCAATTTGACTTTGTCACCTTTTTTTTCAGATACCGAGAATATCAGCCCTCCAAACATGGAAGGACTTGACGAGCTCATTGCAGTAAGTGATCAGGGATTCCGTCCACGGGATATGCGGAATGAATTTTCACTTCAACGGATAATCGTCGTTTCTTTGCACCAAGTGTTTTCTTCTTGTATAAACTCGTCCTGATCAGTAATGACCGTCGCACAGGCTGCACTGAAGAAGAGTCGATCACCAACTAGCGGCAACGTCAACGTCAATGGTATCTGGCGTTCCCAATCTGCCCTGGATTCTTTTTGCTATTTTCTGAGGTGGTCTTTGATAAATGTCTCCAAGAAGATTTGACTATTTTAGGCACAGCTTTTTGTTCAGGCCGTTCAATTGCTTTTGGGCACCTTTTGATTTCATAGTGGGGATTCTTATCAAACCACCGACGTTGATCACATGTCCATCTTCTACAGGCACTACTCCATCACAAACAGCACAGTGGTTTGATAAAAAGACACCAAGAAAGGTAAATGGAGGTCGAACATGCTAAGTATCGACGTTGACAAATAAGCAATTGACGTCAAGTTTCGGGCTCTTAGCTGAATAGTTTTCCACGGTGTCTTTGTTTGGATTCACGTAAGAACCAGAGTATCATAGAATGTGGCTTAAAAGATACTCCTGTTGCAACATAAGTCAAGGCTTGACTAGATACATGGATGATGTGGCTCCATTTACCGACCCAGTTGAGAGTATCAGTACCGATGGAACTTTTCATGATTCACAAGTTTTTTTTATTTTTTCTTGGCTTAAATACGTCTATACTCTCTTTGAACAGAAGAGCCAAAAAGTATTGATGTTTGTCGCATGCAGATAGAACCTCTCTGATTTTGTATTAAGGATTCTGCTTTTGGCTATGACGGGTTCTCATTTTCTTCAACGGACTAAAGTTCGCATGGCCCCGCGCAGTCCATATCTCAGGCCTCCGTTACGTCGGTCATCGATGGATTAAAAAAGTTGTACCTTGAGAAGCTGAAACCTTTGGAAGTGACATATCGCTTCAATGATTTTGTGTCTCCTACTTTGGTAATGAGCTTCGATTTTTAAGTTCACCAGTTATTTTCAAGTTTCCTCGCTACAAGCTCCTTGGCCCACTTCGGTTGTGCAGCGTATTGAAGGAATTTGGAAGAGTATGAACTTACTATAGTTGGATATTAGTCATCTGCATGACCGCTTCTGACTGAAGTTTGGCTAGGTTGTTGACCTCTTTTTACAATGTGCTGATTGAATTCTTCGAGTCGGTATTGATGTTGTGTATGTACACCTGTGTTTAATGTCGCTAGCATTGAATGTATATGGCAGACGGAGAGCGATTTCGATTGTAAGCCAATGGTTATGTTGCTAGGACAATACTCAACTGGAAAGACAACCTTTATTAAACATTTATTGAGGGGAGAATATCCAGGTAAGACTTCTGTAAACCGGGTATGTCTTTCAGTAGAAATTGTGGCGAGTCTTCAGTAATGAAATTTGCTGTATTGATACATTCCGGAAATTGTCATCTAGCTATTGAGTCTCTGTCAGACATAGGAGGTTCTGATGTGGCTCCTGGAATCTCTCCTGAGCAATTTTGATCTTTGAGATAGCATAATTCTTGAACTTATTCGTGGATTTGGCAGGTGCTCATATCGGACCGGAGCCGACGACTGACCGATTTGTCGTGGTTATGGTCAGTACTTCATATTGATCATTGGCAATAACATATTGCGAATGAAGGATTTGCTTGTGTCTTATTGTACCAGTCAAGAGTGGTATTTGCATATCAAAAAGTAGATGCTTGGACAAGTTAGCGACTAATGTGTGAAGCATTCAATGACAAGCACAAAACGTGAGCACCAAGAACACCTAGCAGTCATACACCTGCCTAATTTTTTGCTGTTTACGATATAACTAAGTCCTGATTCACCTGACCAGAATTTGCCTAGAAAGTTGCTTGAATTATATAGGTACCTGGATTCTCTCAGGAAGATATGTGTTATTTTCAACTCACGGTCTTTGGTTTTGTACTAAGATGCCAATACACGCCGCATCGCAGGGTGGTGATGATGAACGAAGTGTTCCTGGGAACACTATAGCCGTGCAGGCCGATATGCCGTTCAGCGGCTTGACTAAGTTTGGAACTGCCTTTTTGTCCAAATTTGAAGTCTCTCTCATGCCTCACACGGTTAGTCTCTACCTCGGGTAACATCTTTTTTTTCTTAAACAATTCTGAGTGCGGATATAAACTTGGTGTCATAAACTGTCAACATGTATTGACCTGTTTTACGTTTGTTTCTGTTTTCCAATCTCATGGCAGCTGCTGGAACACATCACATTTGTTGACACACCAGGAGTGCTCTCTGGAGAAAAGCAACGCACCCAGCGAAGCTACGACTTCACGGGTGTGACCGAGTGGTTTGCTTCAAAATGTGATTTGATCCTTTTGTTATTCGACCCTCACAAATTGGACATTAGTGACGAGTTTAAACGTGTCATTGGATCTTTGAGGGGCCATGACGATAAGATTCGAGTTGTTCTCAACAAAGCTGATCAGGTCGATACTCAGCAGGTAAGGATTTTACGGAGATAATTCCATGATGTCGTAATGTACTCCAGCATCACCATCGCATTGTTTATGCATGTCAAGCTTCTATATTGGTGTTTGAACTAACTAAATTGAGCCCTGGACATTTACAGTTGATGAGAGTATATGGAGCGCTCATGTGGTCACTCGGTAAAGTGCTCAACACTCCCGAAGTAATGAGAGTCTACATTGGGTATGCTCCTCTCTATCGTGCGCTGGGATCTCCGTCTTTGGCACTTTTCGTCAGAAGTGCCCGATTTTGTCTGTTGTGCAGTAAGACTAGAAGTCTATAGTGCCCACCGAAGTTAGTTACTCTGATACTTCCCTCCAGCACTGGGAGATTAACCTTCTTGTCTGTCGCTTTGGTTTGTCTCATCGCAGTTCTTTCAATGACAAACCCATCAACGACAATGTAGTCGGTCCTATCGGCAAGGAACTATTTGAACATGAACAGAACGATCTTCTGGCTGATCTTAAAGACATCCCGAGGAAAGCTTGTGATCGACGAGTAAGTGTTTTAGAAATAAGTTTGCTATTCGAGCATTCATAGCTGTCTGTGTTTCGTTAAACCTTTCATGTGAAGTGGTGAGTATTTTTTGAAAACTTCTCGCCGCCATCTTCAAGCTTTCTGTTGATCATCATGTATCATAGCTTAGACGAGGCTTTTATGCTATATGGTACTTTTGTTGTAGTTCGATCAGTTACTACCAAAGTTTTTTCTGACGTTGTCGTTTGCTGTTTCAGATTAACGAGTTTGTCAAGCGTGCCCGCGCTGCTAAAATTCATGCTTACATTATTGGACATCTGAAGAAAGAGATGCCTGCGATGATGGGTAAGGTGAAGGCACAACAACGTCTTGTTGACAATCTCGAAGAGGAGTTTGCGAAGGTATTCAATTTTCCTTCTTTTCACTTGGTGTCTTCAAATTTCGTCTGAAGAGTCTGATGTGCAGATGCGTGATCAAGTCGAGATTTGGTCCTTGAAGCCTGAGGTTCGATTAACTAATTGACTTGGATTCGTTGATTTGGCCACCGCAGGTGCAAAAAGAGTATCATTTACCGCTAGGTGATTTTCCGGATGTTGAAAGATTCAGAGAGATTCTTCAAGGTTATAGTATCGATAAATTTGAGAAGCTGAAGCCCAAGATGGTACAGGCGGTGGACGATATGTTGGGTCATGAAATTCCTGAGCTGTTGAAAAGGTTCAGGAATCCGTACGATTAAGTATGGTGATCTATAGGTGTCTCGGTGTTCTCTTTTCTTGTTTTGTTGTATAATTTTACGATAGTTTATTGTCTTCTCGAGAGGAGTATCATCTCATTTAGCGCACTTTTCTCAAGTGCATTTTAATTAGTAGAGTAGCGCAAGCAAGCAGGCACCTACAGTGATGCTTACTACTAGGCCAATAGCGTGTTTTGCAGGCTGGCAGGGTTTATATACCACGAATTGTTTCCCGTGTTGCTGTAATTACCGTCAACGGTGGCGTGTATGCCACTGCCTATTCTTTGTCAGGTCGTAGAAAAGTGCAAGATCAACGTAATGAAGGGCCGGCGAGTTGTATAACCATCACAGCTGTGTCTGCAAATTTTAGTTGGTTGAATATTGATATAATATTGAGAAATGCTCGTTTTAAAAGCAGTTTGTGAGGCCTTCAACCACACTATATTAAAACCACGTCCGAAATTATGTCTGTCAGTTCATTTGTGCAACTGATAGTGAAGTGTATATTACATCAGACTTCTGCACATCAGAAGCATGAAAAAATTGTAGACTGTTGGTTGCATCTGCCGGTCTTGCACACTTGCAAGACTGGGAGGCTCGGCTTGTTAATCATGGTGTTCATTATGGATGAGCATAAAATTGATAAAGTCTTACGGGGAGGCAATGGTAATGAGTTGAACTGTCTCAAAGATCTTCCTAGTAATATCCACGGATGTGAGCGAGTAAACTGAGGCAACCTATCCCTGCACTGCCGTTTCTGTACACGACTGAAGTTGCAAAATGACCATTCCGAAGTCAATTTAATGTAGGATTTGGTAGCTTGACATCGGCTTGTTGGTTTTTCACAAAACTTATATCTTCTATATGTGAATCACTTAGTTCTGTATAAAGTGGTCCACGGAACAGAAACACAATCTACTCATTCCGGTTACTCTAGTCTACAGTGGTAGAACTACAATATACAAGTTAAGTTAGTCTAAAATGAATCTGTGAAACGCTTATACTCTGTGTTACACATATATGTATCCAATTTAATGAATTCATTGAAACATTTGCAGTTAAAAATATTTATTGTAAATTTTCATCAACAATTTTGTTTGATTAAAAATTCTTTGAAGATTAATTTTTTTTTTTTACAATTTAGGAGATTTTGATTACCATAATAAAAATAAAAATATTGAAATATAACTGAATAATAATACTATTCAATCAAGCAATAATTAACGCTGTAAACGTAAATTTTATTATATTGGAAGTATTGAGCTATGCAAGTTTGTAATGTATATTTTCAATGCATACATATGTTTTGTAGTGTAAATCTGTATAAGTTCATTTAACATTATCTCTACGAACAATGAAATACAATTCATATTTTTCAAATGTATAATTTTCAATTTTTTTTTTAATAATTCATGTTACAACTTTCAAAAAAAAATTACTTGATGTCATCCTTGCAGAACCTTGGTGGGACCCATCAAGTATCATTTTATCTTATGGATTTCACGGTATGACAAGTCATCCATGTTATAGTATTGACAGACATAGATGATGTACAAATCAAGTGGGATCCATCAAGTATCATTTTACCCTATAGGATCTCACCGATGGTATGCCGAGTCACCCCTGTTATAGTATCAATAGATATAGGTGATTTCCAAATCGAGTGAGATCCATCAAGTATCATTTTATCCTATGGGATCTCACCACGGTATGCTGAATCACTAATGTTGTAGTATTGACAGACATAATTGATTTTGGTTTATATACTTTTGCCTTGTTGCTAACAGAGGAAGAGTAGTAGCTATGATGTTGGCTCTGTCAACTCGATTAGCAATGCAAGTGCCACCATCAGTTCAATGTCAAAAATGCAAGAGTTGGAGGTATGTGTGCTGCTTCATCCGTCAAACCACGCGTGCATGTTAGAGAGTAATAAAGTTAATGGAGAGTTGTTCTGTTTGTCCGATAGTTGGAAAATACTTACATTCACAAATTTGTGAGTCCAATGTCAAATATAGCAGGGTCAAAAAGTTTATTGTGAAACTTCTTTTACCCATATCGCTAGGGTATTTTAGGTGCATTCTCATTAGGATCTGCACCTCCTATTAGTGCTTTGTAGGTACTAGGTGAGAGTGCATGGAAGTCATCGGTACGGTAGATTTATGTATTAGGGTTGAATAGCTATCTCAACATTTCGAGTTTACACACAGATTGTTTCTTGCGTGATAGTGCATGTCTTCTTGTTTTTCCAAATGGACCCACACTTTTGGTTCCATAACCGAGATCATTCAAAAATATTTAGTAATATAATTCTTGTATTTGATTTGAAACTGGAAGACCAGATGTTGTATGTGTGAAATAGATTTAGAAGTAGCCAAGGAATTAATCATGGTTAGCTTAGTTATGACTAAATCTAATTAGTTATAACTAGTAATAACTAAGTTTATCAAGTTATAATTATGTCTAGCTATAATGTCTATACTTGGTGGAATAACTAGAGAAATTCTAGAAAATTTGAGTCAGTACTTGTAATTTGTCTTGTACAAAAGTCTAGATTCCAAGAGAAAAGATATTTGACTTCATGTTTAGTTTTGATTGGTTTGACTAAGTAATGTGGACTTCATTGGTTAGACTAAATCTAATGTTGACTTAGTGGCAAGTGGAGATTCTAGAGGTTGGAAAATCATAAATGGCATGTCGCCACCTCAATCCAGGGATTAATAAACATCTAGAAACTTTAGGAGTACAATGGCATGTTACCATGTATTGATAACTAGTCAAACTTACTATGATTTATTTTTGTAAATGTAAATTAGATAAGAATTACCATTTGTTACTATGGTATTTTCAAGTAGTATATATAGAGAGTTAGAAAAGATACTCTAAAGTAAGTTTGAAGTGTTCATGTGTAAAAACTTGTTTCATATATGAACACTATATATCGAGTCACAATTTTCAATTTCTTGGACAGTAATATGTGTGTGTGAATTGGAGTGATAAATTGAGGGATTGTGTGAGAAGGTCTTTAGGACATGGGCATGATGAATAATCATAGTCTTCTAGAACAATGATGAGCTACCACAAAGCCATCTAAGATAAACCTTAGTGAGAGTAAGTCTGAAGGTTGCGGAACGTGAGGATTAGGTTTGTCAACGGCGGCCTTTGCTTTTGCTACCTCATAGCTTTCCGTTCATGTGTTTCTTGATTTGGGACGTCAGGATAAGGGTTGTTCGCGACAACCTATGCTTCTGCCATACTTTGTCTTCTTGCAAGGTGCTGAAGAGATATTGCATTCCTGCTACCACAAAGTCATTTTGTTTTGGTGTTACATATCTTGGTGGGACGAAAGAGGTGTTTTGAGAGCCAGTTTTTTTCCGCTTCTTCTTTGTTTTCATTCTCTTCTTCATCAACGCTGCTCTCCTCTTTGATAGCTTTCACTGCAGGCTTCGCAACAGGCTTGGCGGACTCGTTTCTTCACTTCATTCTCTTCCTCCCACACTTTCAGCTTTGTTTTTTGGTAGACTTTCATCCGTCATGGACAACGAGAGGTCTTCTTCATCATCATCTGGTTCCTTTTTGGAGTCATTGTCTTTCACTTTGCCTATACTCCGCTTCATTCGTGTTCCGCCGGTAGTCTAATCACTCCACAATTGTCATCAAAGGTTGCGCTTTGAGATTCATGTGGTGTTGATGGTACTAAATGAAGTTTCAAATCTCCCAAGTTTTCCATACTCCTCAATCTCCTATCCTTGTTTCGCAAGAAGCAGCTTACCAACTTATATTACTTATCTCCACCTTAAAAGCAGGTTTTGTGTTTCATTCTTGAAGATTGACTTACAACTTTATCTCCTCAAACTTGTAGCCATTTTTAGTTAGTTAGAACTAAAGTAGAGTTTACTCAAGATTGAATAGAATAGATGATAGTGGAATATCTACAATGTTATGTCAACAATCCGTGTGTTAGTTGAGGATGTTAGTTGGTGTGTTGGTTGAAAACAACACGTTATCATTCTGTATGTTTGTTAGGTAAGGATTGAATGTGCTAGTTGGTGTGTTAATTAGAAGCGACACGTCAACAATCCGTGTGCTCATTAGATATATCCGCCATGTCATCAATCCACTAGGTTTGAATTAGATGATGAGGATGGGATCTTATTCTCTTGTCTTTCAGCTATATAAGGGAGAGAAGAACCATTGTTAGTATCTCTTATGTTCAAAGTTTATGTTTTCATCTTCGAGTGAGCTTCTCTCTAAACCCTAGTGTTACAAAACTCCATTTTGAGTTCTCTTGAGTTTGAAGACAGACCTCATAAAATTTGTCATTCTATTTTTAGATGTCAAATTTGACAAAAAAAACTCAAAGTTGTCAAAATTAAGTAATTGTATTTATTTCTAACTTTATAACTTTATGTGGCTATCTGTTGTTCAATAGTCACATACTCAATAGCGGGTGTTCAATGGCTACCTTTGTGGCCATAATAGTGCGGGCAGCATATGAGGTTTGTTCAATTTCAACCACCAATCTATCATTTTTGGGTATCATGAGTCATCAAACTCCCTTTTTGGAGAAGCATAAAATCAAGTTAGGCCTCAATTATGTTCAACGTGTGCCAAATGAAACCATTACGACAGTTTTATGTTGTTCAACCTGCCAATTTTGGGTATCATGAGTTGCCAGACCCATTTTCAGCAGAAGCATAAAATCAAATTTGGCATCAGACCTGTTCAACGTGTGCCAAATGGAACCATTCCAACAATCCAATGCTTGTTCAACATGTCAATTTTGGATATCATGAGTCGCCATATACTCTTTCAGGAGAAGCATAAAATCAAATTCGGCCTCAATACTGTTCAACGTGCGTCAAATGGACCATTACGACAGTTCAATGCATGTTATGCGTGCACATCAGACGTGAAAAGCACCAGGACCCATCCATTAAAAGACAACGCACAAAGAATGTGCAAGTGTTCAAGTTTCCTTTTTATCCTGAATGTTACAAAAACCATATGCAATCGTAACACACTGATGAAAGGACAAAATACATACAAACTGATCTATTTCAATAAGAAGAAGGCGACGTGGATCTATGCGTTTTTTGACATGTAAGATTAGATATTGTCTGTGTGAAATAGAACTAGAAGTAGCTAAATAGTTAATCATGGTTAGCTTAGTTATGACTAAGTCCAACTAGTTGTAATACTAGATAATTACTAGAATGGAGCATAATGGTAAATATACGTCTCAAGAGGACAAAATCAACACCAGAGAATCAAGTAGTGTCACGAATTAACATTCTATTGAAAAGTTTTACTTCTCAAGCACATGTCACTCCAAGAAGCATTGCAATTGCTAAGTCCAAAATCAACACATTCTAGGGTGAAATCACACTCAAATTCTAAAATTCTTTCCACAGAAGCCGCACGCGACTCTGCAATTGATATTAAGGGGAGGAAATTTT